CAGGTGTGAGGGGTTTGACCTCAGAGCTGAAGCCAGAGAAGAACAGCCTTCTTCTGTTACTCTACAGCCTGGCAGCCTATAGAAAGGAAATCACAAAATTCCAGACAAAATACAGGTGGCAGTGACCCATCAAAATGCCAGTGCTGTCATGCCCAAAGCCACGGCCCAACTGGGCACAGTGACTGGCCTGGACCCCCAGAGCAAACAGGCCTTCAGCACCTCCCCCTTTTCCTCCATCCCTGTTATCCCTGGTCCTGATAAAAAGTTGCCATTCGGTGGCAATATTCTGCACCCGGGTTTGCTGGTGTGCATCTATTTCTGCAGTATCCAATAATACTAACCCCAGTATCTCCAGATTACAGTGTGGAATACCCAGTAATACTGACCTTAGTATCTCCAGGTTACAGTGTGGAATACCCAGTAATACAGACCTCAGTATCCCCAGATTACAGTGTGGAATATCCAGTAATACTGACCTTAGTATCTCCAGTTTACAGTGTGAATCCCCTAGTCCAGCAGAGAGCAGCGTCACTCCTGAATCCTGCAGGTTATTGTCACTCAGGTCCAGCTCTCTCAGATATGAGGATGATCTGAGAGCTGAAGCCAGCACCTCACAGCATTTCTCTGTGAGATTACAGCTGCCCAACCTGGAAAATAAAACATTTTAAAACACAACCATATACACAACCTATACATTATTAATGGTACCAAGTATTATTAACAAAGCACGTGAAAATACTATCTGAAAATTATCTACGAATCCTCCCGTAACATATTCAGACCAATTAAACAGCTACCACTGCTATTATATTATTATATATATTATTTTTGTTCTCTGTTTTGAATTGAAATGCAGTTTAAATGCTTTTTTTTCAGAAATTAAAAGAGCTTGAGTTTACAATATTCGTGTCCATGTCTATTATTTGATTCTGTCGCCCACTAAAACCCTTTTAAATTAAAAAAAACATTTGCACTTTGGGGCAAATTTTCTTGTGCGATTAATCAAGATTAATTAATTACAAAGCCTCTAATTAATTAGATTATTTTTTTTAATCGAGTCCCACCCCTAGTTATTATTAAATCTAGCTCTGTAAGATGAGGCCATGAGAGTAAACATGCTCCACAATTTATTCAATGAACGGTTATTTTAAAAATGACACCGATTTTGTTGTTCCAATGTCTATGACAGATTTCTTTCTTGAAACTCTGTAGCCAAATACAAACTGTTTTTTTTA